ACGATGAGATAACAATATAAGTTGTTCAAACTGCTAAGATTATGATGATAAGTTACAGAACACAAAACATAAATCTCTGAATATCCTATTTAATACTTTGTTAATACATATATTTGGATAAAATCTTTTTTAAGAGATTTTGTATGAAGCATTTTTGTATGAAGAGAAGTAGTTAACAAATGTTGGTAACAATTGTAAAATGTATTTAATATAGCCAATTAAATGGATGAGAATGGAGTAGCATTAAATTGGAGTTTTATTACCTATGGAGACCTATGTTCTTAAGATCAACTAGAAAAATCTTTTTATAATAACGCTTGCAGGCTCACCATCAAATTAGCAGACAAGTGGGTCTTCTCATAAGTGAGTTATCCAGGAGAAAAGTATCTGCTAAAACTGCTTCAGCATGTTCCTAAATGATGTACTCCAATACCTGGTGCCCCACACTAGATTCACTTGACCAAACATTCATGGAGAACGTGGTTCGAATGTTCCTCTGCAGAAATGGAGACTTGGACTTCCAAAAACAAGAGAACTTGGGGACATTACTAAAACCTTGTTGAATGATGGCACCATTTCACACAGAAACAACAGTCTACTAACTGGATACTTGCACGAGCAGGAGGACAGCAGGTCCAGGATCAGGAGACTACTGTGTTTAAACTCCAGTAACTGCCATGAAACCTGAAGGAGTTATATCAAAAATGTGCATCAGGCAGGATTTACATGAAAACATGAGGTAAAGAGAAATGCTTGCTATTTCTTTTGTCCGCAGACTGCAATGCTTTACTACCTGGGGCGATTTCTGATCAATACCGATCATGGGGAACCTGAGGACGGCAGGAAGACTTACATGGGTCTAAAACAAAGAAAGGCAGGGAGAGAGAAAGCAGACCGAGAAGAAAACAGTAAAATCGGCTACTCCATAAAGACAGAAGGGGATTGCATCACATTTAGAGTGAACTGGGATATTTATTAATTCATAGCATAAAATTTCGTATTATTTTGTGGATGGGAAACTAGGCATAAGCTACTAAAATTATTCTGAAAGATGTTTTAAAAAAAGACACAGTAAAATACAAGAATTAGTGTTCCTATATTTAGTAACACAATTAGTTGTGTTTATACCATTTTAAGTGGTTTGGTATACATTTAATTGTTTCCAACAGTAGAATTTCATTTTAATTGGGCCTGACATAAACTAACACTGAATACTCATTTTGTTCATTGAGTTCAGGACACTGAACTCAATGTCAGGGGAAAAGGAGAAATCCAGGCTACTCTTTAAATTTGGCTGGAAGATCAGATGCAAAACAACACAGCCAGGTGGATTAGTGTCCCAGGGCTGCTGTAACAGAATACCACGATCTGGATAGCTTAAAGCAACCGAAACTTACTATCTCACAGTTCTGGAGCCTAGAAGTCTGAAATCAAGGTGTCGGTAGGGCCCTGCTCCCTGAGACTCTGGGTAAAATCCTTGCTTGTCTCTTCCTAGCTTCTGGTGGTGCCTGTCTACCACTGGTGTTCCTTGTCTTGCAGCTGCGTCATTCCAATCTGTCTGTGTTGTCACATGTCATTCTTCCTGTGTGTGTCTCTACCTTCTTCTTATAAGGACAGGAGTCCTATAGGACTAAGGGTCCACCTTGCTCCAGTATGATCTAAGCTTAACTAATTACATCTGCAAAGACCCTATTTCCAAACACGATCACATTCTGAGATATTGGTGGGCTAGGACTTCAACATATCTTTTGGGGAGGACACAATTTAACCGGTAACACCAGGTAATTCGTATTTTCCTACACTGCTATTATTCACTACAATTATTTTATCATTAAACTAAAAAATCATTAAATGTTATCAAATAAGCCTTCAAACTTTATAATGCTCCCTGTACGTCTATGGGAACCCCTTACATAGATGGGCACATACAGAAAAAGTCCAGATTAGGCCTGGGTTTCCAGTTTCCAGTGACAAGGACAGAATTTGGAGTGATTGTAAAACATCTTTCCAGTATCGGATTTTCACAATTGAATGCCTGCCCGTGACACTTAGGTAGCTGCAGAATTGATTATAAATACTGAGGGAGATATTGATAGTAATGGCAACAGTAAATGTATTACTTAATGTTGGGTGCCCGAAATGATCTCCGTAGGGCCTCTCAGGTCTTACACACTTTAGTGAAAGAGAATGTGGAGGTCTGTCCTTACTTGGCTGTCTCATCTACCTCTCTTTAGAAAGGGAGCTGAAAGGCTAAGAATTAGGTGCTGGAAGAATCTATACACAGGGAGATAAGAAAGTCAGGAATGGGATTTCAGCTTTTGTCGAGCTCGTTGACAATTGTTACTCTTGCAGAAGAAATTTCTAGAGTAGACAAAACACTGTTTATTTCTTTGTTCTTTTCTACAAGCTCATTTTCTACAAGCCTTATGGATTTCAATAAAGATTAGTAGGAAATAATAAAAATGCCATGTTCTGTATTAAAAATATATTTGGAAGAGAAGAAAGGGAGGGCAGGATAGAGTCATTGTCTATATATTTTCCAGGGTACTCATGGAAAAGCTAAGTGGACAGCATGAGGGCTGGGCTCCCACCTGCAGGGAGCCTCTCCTTTCTCTTCCCTTGGGCGACGCTGACCCCAACCCCTCACGACCCTCCAAACCTCACCCGTTTGGTGACCCCTTCTCTTGCACAGTCAATCTTCCTTCTCAGTGAGATGATTCCCATCAGTGTTATAAATTCATAAAAGCCAGATTCGTGAGGTTTAATCTCTACTGAAAACAGCCGAGGTGTTCCATTACAAAAAACCAAAGTGTTGAAAGTGAAATTCCAGGCTTCACCTCCCACCTCCTGAGAATCATTAAACATGATGGATCTCATTTGTTGCCCTTAGACGTGAGTTCTTAACATGGAAACCCTTGCCTCCTCCTACTCCTTCTTCCTGCTTTATTATTTCCCCCACCCTACATTTAATGTAACTATTTTGTTGTTTGTATCTCTCTCTAAAATACTCTAAGCTTTTTGAGAGCAGGCAATCTGTCTGTTGTGTTCCATGCTGAATCCTCTCTAGGGGAATTTGACATGAAACCTTCAGTTTCTCCCTTCTCAGAAAAGGTGTTGGCAATACTCAACTGTCCAAACCAAAAAAAAAATCAGGAGTCATTCTTGGTCTTACCTGTCTGCTCACCTCTGCATACATCCAGACATGTACTGAATCTGTTAACTTGTCTCCATGAAAATACCCAAGAGTGGTGTTTCTCAAACTTTTTTTCTGGCAAAGAAACTTCTCACATTTTTTGTTCCTGTAATTGTCCTCCAGCTCATGACATTTTAATATTAAAGATTGTATATGTGTTTATGCACTGCATGTATATCTGTGCTTTATACATAAAAATAAGAGTTTTTACTCCATCAAGAACGAATTTTTTTTTTTGAGGAAGACTAGCCCTCAGCTAACATCTGCCACCAATCATCCTCTTTTTTGCTGAGGAAGATTGGCCCTGTGCTAACATCTGTGCCCATCTTCCTCTGCTTTATATGTGGGATGCCTGCCACAGCACGGCTTGACAAGTGGTGCGTAGGTCCACACCCAGGATCCAAACCCACAAACCCTGGGCTGCCGAAGCAAAAACTGCAAACTTAACCGCTGTGCCGCTGGGCCGGCCCCCTCAAGAACTAATTGCTGCCTCCTTGGGGGCAATACTGCCCCAGCTGAGAACACACGCCATTGTGTCCAGCACCTCTGCCTGTCTACTAGCCAAGTCAGCCACACTAACCTCCTCCTGGACCTCATTTATGACTGAAATAGCCTTGACCACAGACTAGTTTTCATTACTCAATCACAATGCAATAACATGTTAGTACAACGCCACTTTATTTTTACATAATGGTGAATCTTGCAGCAAAATCCCACTGACGTTGTAGGAAGAAATTTTACCCCAAATCTCACCCTGTTTCTACCCTTGCTGCCATTCTCCAATTCATTCTCTAGGAATCATGGACAGCAATCTTGAAAACATTTATTGAACCATGTTACTTCCTTTCTTTACAAAATTTTCAGTTTTATTGTTATTATTCTACTTGGATTTAAATCTGAGTTTCTTAACATGGTCCATAGAACTTATCTCTCCCTGCCTATATTTCTGGCCATGCAACTCTACAGGCTTGAGAAATTCCCCCTCACTGTGATGCCTAGAAAGCAGAGCGTGAAGCAAGGATTGAGCTAATGCATTATTAGGGGTAGAATCTCAGGGCTGTGTGAGTGTTGCAAGAAATGGAGCAGGAAAGAATAGGAAGTAATCTCATGTGAGGTGTCACCGTGGGGCCACTCCGTTATGTTGAACCACAAAGAGACATCTGCTTGGCTATGTGAAGACCTTGCTTTGGACAATCCATGAGGGAAAAAGAGAAAGGAAATTTATTCATTGGTTCCTTCCCATACCCTGCCTCTCATTGGTTGCAGCTTACCTCACAGGGAGTTAACCGCGTGCACTTCTGGGTTGCACCTCCCAACCCCTTTAGCGCCTGCTTGAGAAGCCAGATTTCATGCCAGCAGTGTGAGTCTCATCCAAGTGCAGAAGTTGTAGGAGGGGGCTAGCTACCAGCTGGTCAGCATAATTTGGAAGAACCTCATGGTCCTGCCCAGGAATCTCTCAGCCACAGGGGCAGCTGAGAGAACAAATGACTGAGGGTCCAGGATAGAGCAAAACCAAGAGAATCTGAGGAGGTGCTCAGGAGGTGTCCCATTCACGGACCATCTCTAAGTTCATGGACACACTACATTCTACCAACTCTCAGAGCCCTTGCTTACCATCAAGTTCTACAGAACTCCTTAATTTTTCTTTACCTGAAATTCAAATGGATTCTCAGCTCACCACTTATTCTTTCTCCATGACTTCTTTCCTAAAGTGTTTGGATAGCCTTTATAATGTTTCATTTTTACATTTCAATTCCTTGGAAATCAAGAAGAAACCTATATGCTAGATCATTAAAAAATGATATACTTTATCTTTTTATTCTGATTCATTTTATTTTGAATTAAATTAATTTGAATTACATTTTATTCTGAATTAAAACTTGCAAAAGAAGAGATCTTCAAAATGTATTATTCAGTGCTGTAAGAGAGAAATGAAAAGATTCAAAACTTGGTTGAGACATGAAATTCGTAATTTATAGAGGTCCTAAAGTTAGAATTGTCAAGGTAGTCTAAACAAACTTAAATACCATCTATGTAACCAGCTGCCAGAAGGACTCTGTGCGTGAGTCCTTCCCTGCATGTGGTTTGGAGCAGGGATCTCTTCAGGATTCCGTGTATCCATGGGTGTTTCCCTGCCAGAAGGGAGCTTCACCCACTGCAAAGTCCTCTTCTTCTTGAGTTCAACAAACAACCTGACTAATGAGACATGGAAACTGCAGAAGAGTTCTATGTATGGCATCTTCCCCCATCAGCCAACCTATAATTTGAGTGAGCAACACCTTGATGTCTGCCATGACTCAATCTGTAAATAGGCAGTAGATGGAAACAAAAGCAAAAAATCAGGTCTGTAGAACAAAAAAGTGAATCTCTGTAAGACATATTTGCTGAATGGCACGCGGTGCGTCACTATAAGAATGAGAGCTGCACACCTGGAGACAGGATCAACAGCCTGGCATAACTGTGGCTCCTGCGCCTGAGTCCATTCCCTCATTATGGTGCGGAGGGGGCTGGGGAAGGGGGAGGCAGGGGAGGGCAGAAGCCCAATCCTGAGATCGCTCAAAACAGACTTGGGCAAACAAATTTCTAGAACACTGTACTGTTTAAAAAGCCATAGATGTTGACTAGAATTTCATCTCAGATCTATCATTTATCTAAGTTGGTCCGTTGTGATTTGATTTAGATTCTGTTCAAATATACCATTTGTAACAAAAATCCTCAAATATTTATTCCTGTGGGTATGTTTTAAATAATATTAGAACAAGGAGCTCATTGCCATGGACTGAATGTGTGTCCTCCTAAAGTTCATGCTGAAACCCTAATCTTCAAAGCAATGACATTTGGAGGTGGGGCCTTTGGAAGGCACTTCGGTCATGGGAGTGGAGCCCTCACGAATGGGATTAGTGCCCTGATAAGAAGAGACACGAGAGAGATGATCTCTGTCTCTACCATGTGAGGACACAGCAAGAAGACAGCCATCTACAAACCAGGAAGAGGGCTCTCCCCACGAACCAAACTGGCTGCACCCTGATCTTGGACCTCCATGCTCCAGAACCGTGAGAAATAGATTTCTGGTGTTTAAGCCATGCAATCCATGGCATTTTGTTACAGCAGCCAGAACTGACTGAGACACTTGTCAAAACTGAAGTGAAGGAGAGTGTCCTAACAAGTCATCAGAAGCTCATCATGGAAGCAAACATCACCTTCTACAGCTTTGGTGGTGGAATAGGTCAGAATTCTCAGATTGAGGCCTCAGGCTGTGCTGCACTGAGCTTCCCAGGTCTGCTCAGGATCAGCCCCATCTCCCCTTTACCATCCCCCCTCCAGGTACTGATAAGGAACCCAACTGTCTCCTAGAATTCCAAGATGACCCTAATCTCTGTGGCATCACCAGAACATTTATGTAGGAAAATTCTTGGGAAGGTCCAGTTCATTCACTCCTCTACCTACCACATGCCAGGCACCCTGGGGGGCATTAAGGATAAAAATGGCAGAAAAAGAAACACATGTCCTCCCTACACTCTAGTGAGCAAGACAGACACTCGCGATGGTAATTCTATGTCTTTTGTTAAAACAAACAACAAACAAAAATCCCTTCCTTGACCTCCCATCACCTCAGGCTAATGCACCCATGCTCTAGCCCCTTCAAAGAACAGCTTCTGGAAGACCGGCTCACAGAAGCTGTTTCCACCTAACTCCCTCCTTGTCCTCCCCACTCCTCCCTCAGACTGGCCTTTAGGGACACCAGCGGCTTCCATTTGCCAATCTGATGTTCACATCTCTGTTCCTACCTTACTGGACCACAGGGCAGCACTGTCCACAGCTGACCGCTCCTGCATCTGGCCCCTTTACTGTTCCTTCCTCATGTATGGCCAGTTCTTCCTCCCCAGTCAGCTCTCAGCTTAAATGTCATCTCTGGCCGATCCTCACCAGCCAAGAACAGGAGCCTCCCTATCTCCCGCTGCCCCGTCAGTTTCCTCACATCCACCGCGTAGCTGGTCATCACCTCTCTCACGTTTTCCTCAGTGGGTGGTTTATTATCTGAAGCTCCAGGGGAGCAGGATGCTGCCAGTCTGTCCACCATCTTACTCATCAGTGCTCAGAGGAACCACAAAATAGCAACAATTCAATCAATCTCAGTGATGTCACAAATAAAATCAACCAACTGATAGATATATTATCAACAACAACAAGAATGGAAATCGTACTCTGTGAGAAATATTCTGCCAATTATGCAGAACACTGGACAGAAGATGTGGGGATGGGGGCAGATTCTACAGTTAGGAAGCTCTATAGGGGAGGGCCTGAAGGCAAGAAAAAGCTGGGCAAGTGTGTGAACTGAGGGCCACTGAGGCTGGCCTCAGGCACCGTTCACTGTCTGTATCATAAACTGAGATGGAACGTGCCTGCAACACGTGAGTTACTTGGAAAGTGAACAGGTCTAGCTGTCACTGATAATTTGATAAACATTGTTGCCTATGTTTTCTGTAAAATGTTTTGTTATTTGTGCCCCCAAACATATTCTTTGGAATGCTTCTATGTGCCATCCTACAACAGGAATATCTTGCTGTGAGCACTGTTTTTGAACCAATCAGAAATCACTATGCAATCCCAGGAAAATACTTCACCCAGCAATGTCCTCCCACAAATTCCACTGTCTTAAATTTCCAAATTAAAATGGCCTTGCCAAGAAGAGATTTATGTTATAAGCAGTTAAGGAACAATAGTTAAGAAACTAGGCATTGTCTTTCCAATTAAAATTATGACTAATGTAGTGAAAAGAGAGAGCGAAATTAAGATTTACACTAGGAAGCCGAGAGGATGATGAAGATAAGGGGGCATCGCAGGTTCTGCTTCTTGTGAGGAAAGCAGACAGACCCAAAGCTTGACATTGAAATAGTATGTTTAGAACTCAAATCAGAAGATGGTAGAAAAGTCTTCAAGGAGAGGAGAATTCCTACCTGTGGCCAAATAGATGATGTGGACGAGCACGTCCCTGCCCTGCACCACGTCGACGGCCAGGTGGGAAAAGCGGCTGTTGTCCTCCATGAAGGAGGGCACTGCAGTCACTGGCTGCACGACCTCATGCATCAGGATGAACTTCTGAGCATCCTGCAGGTTCCTTTCCGTCAGGTTCACGTACAGACCTTGGTCCACCGTGCCGCACTGCAAGGGAACACAGGCCATTAATGGAACCAGCCACCTGGGCACCTACAGCTGATCCCGGCCACCCAGACGGAGGCAGACTTGGAAACTGAGTACCTGAAAGGTGCAAACATGCTAACTTTTCCATTTTCCCCAAAGTCTCCTCCTAGTGTCCCTTTCATTTCAGATTTGAACTCATCATATTTGGGGACTCTCTCAGCTCTACCATAAAATGAACGATCGGAAGGTAAAGTGGAGGAGTCATTGCTAACTTTAATCTGAACAGCATATGCATAAAAACTCCTCATCACCTGCTGAGTCACTTGGGAGCTGTCTGGCTAAATGTACGCTATTATATCTGTCTGATAAATCAGGGACCCAGACTGAAAACGCAGCAATCAAATACACCACATAGACTTAGTTTTTCTATTGGAACAGTGGGTCTGTAAGCAAGGTAGGGATTCCCTGGAGATAGAACTAGGCCATCATTTTCATCTGTAATTTATGTAACATTATTCTGACATCATTCTCATGGCTACAAAAGCACCATGCTGACCTTATTGCTTGTGTTTCTATTCCAAGCTGGAAGAAACAAAAATTTTATTTAAAGTCTAGCCATCTGAGAAATAACGTGGTAAATTTGCAAGAAGAGAGAGGGATAAGGAGATAAAGGAAGTGAGAAACGGAGGGAGATGGGGAGAGAGAAGTCTATGAAGGAAGAAAGAAGGAAAGAGATTTTCAGACAGAGGAAACATCAAGAGATGAATCTGGCACATTCAGGAAAAACTTAGACCCAGAAATTGCTGGGAATTAATTCAGAGTTGTGTCGCAGAGAGGCTGGCAGGTTTTATGTGTAGGAGGGTTTTTGGCAAAAATGAGGTAAAAAGAGGAAAGAAAACAAAGCTTTCCTGGGGCAGAGCACAGAATCAGAAAGTTACCACCAGCCATTCTCGTTTCTTTCATACACTTGAAATCTTGGTACCAAGAAAGGTGGATCCTCAGCAGAACTCCATATAAGCAGGTTTGCTGGAAATGAATTTCCCCATCCCTGAAACTACCATTTATAAAATGTCATTTCTAATAGTTGGTGTTATAACAGGTTAGAAGTGCAGAAGTGTAAGATGGAAATGGCTTTTTAAAAGTAGATGATATTTTTGTAGCACTTGATAAAATGCCCCACGCGCCATAAAACGATAGGCCAATGGTAGAGTTAGAGAATCTTGGAATGAAATGGATTTTAAGTATGGTCCAGTTCCTAGTCTAATGTCATATCCTTGCAGGGCCACCCCTTGTGCCATGTGATGGGACCACATGAGGTCCAGTGAAGGGTTCCACTCCATCACTCAGGGGCCACGCGGTCTCAGGTGAGGCACTGCCTCTCCGTCTCTGTCTCTTGACCTGTAAAGCGGCTAGAAAAATACTTCTCTGCTCACTTCACAGAGCTGTCGTGAGACCAACTGAGATGACTGGCGGGGAGCATTTGTAAATTAATTGAAAGTGCTTGTAAATGCCAAGGAACAAGACAGTGTGCCTGGCACAGAGAAGCCATTCAACTAATGGTAAATGGTCAAAGCATTCCTCTTAGAGCAGGACAGCAATTCCATGGTCCATTGAGCAGCAGCAGCCAGAGGGAAATGAACAAATAAAGGAAGGAAAGGATCAATGGGGTGAATACACAAGCGGTTGCTTTGGGGGCAGGGGGCCTGTGCTAGGAGACCTTACATAATTATCGTATTTAATGGTAACACTTGGAGGACAGGGACATTGCCTGTTAACAAACATGTTACAAAATGAAAGAGCTCTACCACATCTGAAGTCTATCCAGGTGAGCTCTAGTTCTGAGAGCGACTTTGGGTTTGATGTTTTAGTCTTCTTCAAATCATTGGCAGCACTTAAGGCACCAGTGGCAATTAGCTATCTGCCCGCTGGGAGGAAGTTTTGTGCACAGATTTTGTTTTGTACACACAGCGTTTTTTAAAAAATTGGCATCATAAAAATCTGGAGACATAATATGAGTAAAATTGAGGAGCTCTTGCTGCCTTTGTGGAATCTGGAGATCTGGGGAAGCAAGGAGGCCTCGGGGCTGGAGCTGCATAGCAGGACCACTGACCACTTTTTGTAGATTTTACTCCTGGACCTAATATCTTATTCAAGTCACTGACCTGAATTGCCACTGTCATACTGTGATTTGTAATAAGAAACATATAGTTAGTCTTCATCCCATTTCTGGCACAGAGCTCCTAAAATTATGGGAATTTCCTAAGTGATGACAGCAATAAAGGTGTTCTATATTATGTCAATGAGGTGACTTTTGGACCACACTTAGGGATGGAAGCTGGTTGCCAGGAGACCCAATCATAGGATTAGAGGGTTGGAACTTTCAGTACCTCTCAACCTCCACATCCGGGGAGGGGAGAGGGGCCGGAGATTGAGTTCAGTCACCAGTGGGCAACGATTTAATCAATCGTGACTATGTAATGAAGCCTCCATAAAAACCCAAAAGGATGTGATTCAGAAAGCTTCCGGATTGGTGAAGACGTGGAGATTTGGGGAGAGTGCCATGCCTGGAGAGAGCATGGAAGCCCCATGCCCCTTCCGCATACCTTGCCCTATGCATCTTTTCCATTTGGCTGTTCCTGAGTTATGTCCTTCTATAACAAACTGATAATCTAGTAAGTAAAATGTTTCTGAGTTCTGAGCAAATTAATGGAACCTAAGGAGGGGAGGTCATTGGAACCTCCAATCTATAGCCAGTTGGTAAGAAGCACAGGTGACAACCTGGGTTTGTGATTGGTGTCTGGCGGGAGGTGGGGGTCAGTCTTGTGGGACAGAGCCCTTAACCTATAGGATCTGTTGCTGTCTCCAGGTAGATAGTGTAGGAATTGAGTTGAATTGTAGGACACCCAGCTGGCGTCAGAGAATTGCTTGCCTAGTGGTCTGGAAGAAACTCCTACACACTGGAACTGTGGTGACAGAACCATTAGCCAAGAACTGGTTTTGAACTATATTCTACCATATCTTGGCATTTGTTTGCAGCCTATAATAAATATCTCATCCAAGGATTCTTTTTCAAATATTTTGAAAGCTATTTAAATTTATAGTGTATATTTATTGGATCATAACTAACCCACCCAACTCTCTAACAGGCTGCCAATTCTCTAGCTCTGCCTTATACACTGGCCTCCCGCAGTGTGTGTGTGGCACCCTGGGGACTCTGTGTAAGAAGAAAACAATAAAATAGTAAAAACACAGTCATCGCCCTCATGTGGCTTACAACACACAAGGGTTGTCTCGCTAACATCTCTGAAAGTAATAAGGCCAATAATTCCACTAATTTTTTAATACAATGATACTTGCATTTTTTTTTATTTACTTCTTTCAAGGACAAGAGATCCATCTCCTCACCCAAGCACGCCAGGCACTTGGTGTCAAGTCCACATCACCTGGCCTCACGCTGAGAGTGCCCGATTTTAATGGTACCCTTCGCCCACTTGCTCCCTGGCTCCCTCTCACCTTGCTGCAAACACGCACTGTGTATCAAAGGTCCTGAGAACATGGCCACATCCCTTCACTTGGTCCTCCAACAACACCCTCCTCATCTGCTTGACCATTTCTGAGGGTCTATTTTCCATTTTGGCTCTCTTATTTCTGATTGGTGGTAATCAAAACTGCACAGAAAATTCTGGAGTCTGTCCCACCACAGCTACACCATGGGGTCTGGATGATGTTTTCCATTAGTGACTGATGCTTTTTATAGTGAGGCCCAAGGTTTGGATAACTTCGGGGACTGCAGCCTCTAACAGAACAGACATTACAGCACCACCAACAGTGGCTTCTAGATTGCAACTGATAAAAATACTAAATAGTTTTTTTGTTGTTTTGTTATTGTTTTCAATTAGGATTTCTGTATCAAATTTTGAAAAATTATGCCCTGTCCCTCCTAAGCCATTCTTCTTCCTGAACCTCCATCACATTTCTGCTCCTCTAATTAATTAGCTGTTTCTAATATATTACTGCTACATAAAATTCCAAATGTCAGTAGGCAAACAAGAGTGAAAAAAAAATCTAACCACTTCTCACTGTTGGTTATTGCAGACATAAGGCCCTTTATAAACAACTAGCGGCAGGATCCTTAGTCCAAAACATATTCCCACTCTGTGCCAGTCTAGATGGTCTTATGGACGTCAGGAAGGATGCCTACCCTAGCATGGTTATCAAATATGGTAAACCAAAAGAAAGCACTTGGTACATATTTGTACCAGCAGTTATACAAAGAATCACCATAATCTATAACTTCACTTCCCCGCAAGTCTTGAATTCTAGCAAAGAAGACAAACTCAACTAAGCAAGCTTCCTGTCTGAAATGCACGCCACATTTCTGCATGCTTCATTTACTGCATGGACTTACTCCCTTCTCATAAAGAGGAGTAAGCCCTTCAGTGTGACACCGGCATTATAAAACCAGATGCCATAGCTTAGGAAATGAAGGAATTTGCTGTGTGCTGCAAATACATCCACACAAAGGGACTAAAAGTTATCCACTGCCTGGAGGTGGTAAGGCATCACAGAATTTATAAGTCACCATTCATCATGAATACTTTTGCAAAAGAAACATCAAGATGTTAAAAGTTCACTATAAGTATAGAGAGCATCTTTTGTTAATTTTTTTTAACCTTCAGGATTTTACAATGGACTTTCTTAAAGGGAATGATACAGTTCGCCTTCAAGATTTTGCAAAAGGCCTTCATAACAGTTACATTTTGCCCCAATATCCCGGGACATGGGTGGGATTTAGAGGCAGAAACTCAA